ACAGGAAGTCGGAAGTGATGTCATGCTGGACAAGAATCAGAGTCCGAATAACATTTTTTCATATTCGGACTCGAGTCCGAATAATCACAGAAAAATTGTAGAATTCTGTGCCATGAGCTTGTACGTTCCATTACTTGGCAAATATTTCACTTGATTTTAATGATCTTGGACTTAGGGTACAGGGGGGACTTACCCTCGTATAGTTCACCCCCCTTTTGTTTGGTATTGAAAGTAGGTATTAGTTTTTTTGCCCCTGAAATGAAGCAAAAGAAATTGTCTTTTGAGTAGCTAGTAGACAAGCAGCATCACTGTATGTTATATTTTCTTTCTCATATTTTTATGTTACTTGTTTGAATTTGTTGATCAAAGCTTCACTAATGTTGTTTTGTATTGTGTTATCAGGGAAGTCAAACCTTATGGATGCCATCAGCTTTGTGATGGGAGAGAAAACGTCCAACTTGAGATCGAAAAGATTATCAGTAAGTTATTTTTTATAGTTATACACGTACCAGTGTGTGTGATATATAGTGCCAAAATTGTCCAAGAAGGCAACCCATTCCATTGTCGAGAATAGGGTTCGTTTCAGACAAATGGATGTCTTGGACAGTGTCATATATAGAGAAGAAGTGCAAGGTTGGAACTGGCTGTTTGTGCAGGTGATTATCTTTGGCAGGTGGCTCTTAGAGCTGGTTCGACGGTATAATGCCTCTTCTAGCATCTCTTTTTAAAACTAAAGTGTCTTATGAGCGAGTTGTTGGAGGGCGCAGCTGATAGGTTTTCATTCTTTGCTTTCTCTCTATTGTTTCTTTCTGTTCATCTCCATTTGTCCTGTACTGAACCAAACTATACTAAGTACTCCCCAGGGCGGTGCCACTGACAAAAGTGTCTTTAGGCCAGTCCAAAGGGGGGGACATTTCTTGTTCTAGTAGAATTGTAAATTTGGCTGATCTAACAATGTCATGCTCATAACTGTGCCTGAACTACAACAGGGAACTGTTGCTTTTCTTTCCTAATCCTTACTATTGTCATTTTCCTCTACTTCTTTTGTATGTTTGTCACACTCTTGTGATCCGCTATTTCCGAGGTGCCTTGATAGTAGAAGCAGACTTTGTGCTGTTGAAGCTAGAGAGGTGAGCGGAGTAAGTCTGATTCCCTGCAAGGACTTCTCTGTTGACATCCACTCCTTGGCGCTCATAATACCTTATGCAGTTGCGAGCGCCATAAAACCTCTACTAAAACTTAAAAACTATACTAAATGTTGTGTATTAGGTTCTACCCACTTTATTAGACGAAGAATTCTTGCTTTCGAAGGCGATCACTCGGCCGACTAGTGTGTCACTGGCCAGGGGAAATCTTCCAGAATAGCTATCCTCTTCTGTGTGCAAATTCTGGTCATAATAATAAAATGTGCTTTGTCTCATTGAATGAAGAGCTGTTTAAAGCTTTCTTGGGGAAATAAACATTTCTTTATTAAAAGTTCTTTACTGATGTAAAGCGCTGAGAGTTTATATTTGTATGGGATAGGGCTTTCATAAGTGCAATTATTATTATCATTATTATTATTATTTTTTAATTTTAGAAGAAAAAAAGTATTTTTTTCAATTCTTATAGACGTGCTTTCATTTACCTGATGTACTTTTCCAGGATCTGATCCATGGCGCTCCCATTGGAAAACCTGCAGCAAACCGTGCCTCAGTCACAGCAGTCTACGGGGAAGAAGACAGTGACAGAGAAATGTTCTTTCAACGACTTATTCTGGGAAATTCTTCAGAGCACAGGATTGATGGTCACGTGAGTGCTAGTTATGTAATTGAAGCATAAAGAGATTCACTTCAATGATCACTGCCAGAAAAAAAGGTTGTCCTTTTTCTCCCTTTTTGTAGTATATCTCAAAACTGGTTTGAAAATTTCTGACCATATTGCAGGTGAAACAGGTTGTGTTATCCTGTAACTTCCCCCACAGGACGCAGCAAGTTGCCCTTTATGTACTCTTCTGCACATTTGTTCTTTTCCCTTGTCTTTTATGAAAAAAATGATTGATTTCTAAGTGGTTTGTGTCAGATGAAATAATACTTTCTTGAGAATGTTGTACTTTGTTCTAGCTTTTGAAAAAGGAATTATTATCTTTACCACTGAAAACGTTAATCTGTGAATTTCAGCTGTTTTGGTGATCAGATTCAGGAACTTTTATGTTGAATCTATTGTATGCAAACTTTTTTTTGCAGACTGTTACATCAAGCCAATACACAGAGGCTCTTGAGAAGATCGGTGTGCTCATCAAGGCCAAGAACTTCCTTGTGTTCCAGGGCACAGTGGAGAGCATTGCCATGAAGAACGCCAAAGAAAGAACTGTCATGTTTGAGGATATTTGCAAGTAGGTTTTTCCTTTATTTCCTGAAAGTTAATAATAAATCTTTCACACTTTGCAAAGTTAAATGCCAAAGAGAGGTTCAACTGTACTTTGTCATGTGTCCCACAAATAGTGTCTTTCAGAAGTTTCAAATTTTTAAAATGTAAACCCGTAACTCACTTGAGCGTTTTCCAGTGTATTTACAGGACGTGCCGCCAGCCTGGTGGCTGAATCCCGTGTTTACGAGATTCACTTTATCGATAGATGTATCCCCTTTTTTTTCGGTTACAAGCTGCGGGCAGAGGCGAGCCAATAGTTGACCCACTTGTTTTGTTTCTTAAAAGATTTAATGAAGTTATGCATTGTACGTTTTGAGCTGCAAAGGACTAAGCCAGTCACCCCTGCGTTGCGAAAGAAGCTCTGTGAATGGAAACAAAGCAGCAATCATTTTTAGAGTGAAGATATCCTCTCAAAGACATAAATGAAACATGTTTCAAAGTGTTCAAAGGATCTCATCATGAACTGGAAGGTTAAAGCTCCCACAGTGTCCCACGAAAATTACTAGAAGCTGCTAGATCTATGGATAGGGCTGTAGCTCAGGCCATGAACAGTTGCAGTTGGAGTTGGGTGAAAGTGAAAACAGAAATCAGAATAGCTTTTTTCTTCTTCCAAGTCTAGTCCCAGTAATATACAAATCTAGTAGTTCTAGCTGTGGGTACAATAGCACTAAATCTATTAGTTAAAGATGTAACAATAAACAAGGTGAGAAAATGACAGTAGTATCACAGTGTGGACTGCAGACGGACCTGTAGCAATAGGGTACTGTCGCACCATTTGTGAAATGCATCAAGTACTCCTACTGGGACTCAATTTCATGCTTCCACACCAAACTCAGTATACATAAGTTAGAATTATTAACTGCTTTTATGTTGTTTCTGAATTATTCAGAAAATGTTCTGTAACACATAAAAGAAGTAATATGAATACTCCATACAGAGTTTTAGATGCGTAACCCCCAGACATGACCATTTCAAAATGTTCATAAAATAGAAACTATTGGGACAAATTATATGCAGTTTTTTCTTTCTGTGAGAGCATTTCATTCTTTCTTTTGTTGCTTTAATTTTTTAAAAAAGAAGATAGCTTTCATTGTCTTTTTGTGGTTAACGATTCTAAATACCCCAAGACAGTCAGGATGCAATAGCTTAGGCTTGAGTGAGTTAAACACTCATATCGGTATAAATGCATGTCATGTAAAAGTGTTTTAATTCTGCTTCCCCAGGTCTGGAGAAATGAAAGAAGAATATGAACGTGCCAAGGCGGAAATGTTAAAGGCAGAGGAAGACACACAGTTCAACTTGAACAAGAAAAAAGGCATTGCTGCAGAGCGCAAGGAGGCCAAACTGGAGAAAGAGGAGGCGGAGAGATACAAGCGTTTGACAGAACAGTTGGTACGGCTGGACCTTAACTGAATGTGTTCTTTGTGTACTTTCAGTTGTTAAAGCTTCTGTTTTGCTGGGTCATTTAAATTGTGGTACACATTACTGTTCTTACTGATGACTACTTTTTTTAAACTTTGTGAAAATGTGTGTGTATTGGGGATGGGTTGTAGGAAAGAAGTTGCTATTGGTTTCTTATTTAATCGGGTCCATGAAATGTTTTTGTCTTTTGTATAGGTTCAAACCTCAAATTATCACTAAGAACTATGTTTTTTTTTAAAGTCTTTGATATTATCAAAAGAGTTATCTCTTGTTTCTGAGCTCAATGTGAAAGAAATGTGTTGTTATCCAATTTTCGTGTTCTTATCGTTCAGGCTGAAAAACAACTTGAGCTTCAGCTGTTCAAACTGTTCCACAATGAGCGAGATATTGATGAAATCTCAGAGGAGTTAACAAAAAAAGCCCGTATCCTGGAGAAGGAGAACAAGAGGAGGGATAAGATTGAAGCAGAGATCAAGGAGAAGAAGAAAGAACACAGCAGCATTACCAGAGAGCTGACGAAACTGGAGCAGCAGATCAAGGAGTCGGTGAGTTGGTAGAGCTATGCCTTTACACCTTAGGGTTCCCGTGTGTGAGTCTTTCATCTGGATTGGCAGTGGAGATTGTATAGAAGACAAATGAAAAATGCATGCAAAATACATGAGTTTGTGTTCCTTTAGAGAAGTTTATTTTATTCAGCTTTCCTTTTTTCTTTAGGGTACTGTATCCTGCTTCCCTTATTATATAGACGTTCGTGTAAAACATTAACAGTCAATTATTTCATTTGACAAGACAGCCGTGGAGTAGTTTTACTTTGATATTCTGATCTATGCCCTATCTGATAAGTGCATGCATGCCCCCACCTTCATACTTCCATATCTCCTTCCTTTACTAATTACTGTATGCTTCCCAGGAATCTGAAAATATTCAGAGTGTTCAGGGTTTACTGGGGTAATAATATAGATTATGTGAAGCACGTAGAGCTTGCTGTTGAGCAGGGATACGGGCTATACAAATGCTATTCATTACTATAAGGGATAAGTGAACTCACTGCACACCAGTGTGATGCTCCCTTTTGTGTTTTA